AGTTAGATTGCTGCAAAATAACTTGAATTTAGCTTGTTTAGTTCAATAACGAACTGAAAGAGGAAAGTTGAGTGAGGGAAAAAGGCAAGAGGTGTGAGCAACACTTGAGAGAAAAGCCAAGTTCTATAGTGTGCAAAACACGAGCATTGAGTGCCATTCTGTGAGAGAGTGGAGTGAAACACGTAAGGGAGTGTTGAGAGGTCCTTTTATTTTCTGTTTCTAACATTCCTTGTAGGTTTCAATCAAGCGGTGATGACAGAAAAAACCAAGTGGATGATTCCTTCATGCTCAAAGCTATGCAACAACAATTTCAAAGGCTAGACATCATATTTGGTGAAATTAAAGACAAAATGGAGAAGCAAGATGCAGTCATTGCCAAGTTATACCAAATACAGAATGGAAGTCCAAATTTGCAGAATCACGATCTTGATGACAATGATGAAGATGCATTCAACGATGATGCTGTACTAGGTGCATTAGTTAATCCAAATGGCATAACTAACCACTCATATAAAGTATGTTTTGTTTTAAAGGCTGTTTTCCATTCATCACCTTCCTTCATCCTAATCTGATGATACCCACTTTTTGAATCAATTTTAGTGAATATGCAAGAACCATGTAGTTCATCTAACATGTCATCTAATCTAGGAATAGGGTGATGATACTTTACAGTCATTTTGTTGACAGTGCGACAATCAACACACATACGCCAAGTCCCATCCTTCTTAGGCACAATTAGCACTGGAATTGTACATGGACTCATGCTTTCTCTCACATGCCCCTTCTTCATGAGTTCTTCAACCTGCTTTTGAAGTTCTTTTGTCTCATTGGGGTTGCTTCGATATGCTGGTCGGTTTGGAATTGTTGCACCTGGAATGCAGTCAATCTGATGCTCAATTCCTCTTGTGGTGGTAAACCATTAGGAATGTCCTCTGGAAACACGTCCTTGAAATCCTGCAAAAGCGATTTAACAACATTAGGCAAAGAATTTATTAAGTTCGTTAGTATTGAAATAAGCATCTTTATACAGAATGGAAAACATAGGCTGCTTTGCAAAGAATGTAGCCTTGACATCACTTTCTTTTGCATAAACAGTCACTAATTTTCTCTCTTTGTTTTTCAACACTCTCAATCTTTTCTCTTTTTTTGGACTCTTTTTTTGCTGTTTTCTCTTTGAGCTCACTCTCGTTTTTTACTCAGTTGATCCTCATAAACCTGCCTTGGACTCAATGGTGCAAAAAGTAATTGTTTTCCCCTCCATGACAAATGAATAGCGATTTTTGAAGCCATCATGTGTTACCCGCTGATGAGAACCCCAAAGAGAACAATGAGACCCACAGCACGACAAGGGATTTCTAAACTCCAGGAAAGCTAAATCAGATTTATAATAGGACCTTGACCCGTTGTTTATGTCGCAACAAGAACCAAAGGTAAAAACCTTGACCCGTTGTCTATGACACAACAAGAACCAGAGGTATAAAGTTGGTTGACGCCACACCCGAATGATTAAGAACGAGAATGATAAGTAAGGTTAGAATGCCACAAGAATAATCTTGATAAGTCCTGTAAAGTTCTGAAACGAACCAAAGAGAAAAGTCTCTCAAAATCACAGATTCAAATGCCTCCAACGATTAGGGTTACAAGCCCATTAAATAGGGAAAAGTAATTCTAATCAGAATAGGAAACTAACACCCTAAGCCCTAATCCTAATAACCACGAATTGGGCCTCAAAAAAAATGAATGTTCAGTCCAAAATAATACAAAAAACATGAAAATCACTGAAAGTAACCTAAAGTAAAAATGAAATATTAGTTTGTAACAAATTGCGACAGAATTGCGAGATTTTGATGCAAATTGTGTAATTTAGCATAAATGACCTCAATTATGTTTCTCTTGAATCTGAATGATGTTTACCATGCCTTGATAATCATCCAAGCTTTGATTTACTTATTGCATGTTGTTATCAACCCAGATCTGCTCAATAAGGCCATTTAAAGCTTCTCGCATCTTCCTAGCTCTAGCTCTCGTGACTGGACCTCCTCGAATGTGTAATGGATCTTTTGACGTGGTACATGTGGGATCATCTTGATTCCCATCACCCTCCTATCATATTGCCATGGTCTCCCTAAAAGTAAATGTCCAGCAAGCATAGGAACCACGTCACAAAGTACCTCATCCTTATATCATCCAATAGAGAATGAAACCAGAACTTGCTTATTTACCTTGATTTCTCCACAATCGTTTAACCATTGCAGCTTATATGGCCTTGGATGCTTCGTCATAGGTAAATTAAGCTTTTCAACTAAAACAGTGCTAGCTACATTAGTACAACTACCACCATCAATAATCACACTACATAGCTTGTTTTTGACATGGCACCTCTTGTGAAATATATTGTCACATTGTACTTCATCATCTTCTTTAGCTCGCACATTCAAAGCTCGCCTGGTGACGAGCAGTTCTCCATCAACGGCATATTCCACACCATCATTAGCATCTTCTAATGGTGGCATAGATTCATCATCAGATTCACCCTCGGTTTCAATTTCTCCATCTTCTCTCAAGATCATCGTGTGCTTAATTAGGACATTGCGATGCAACATGCCCCCTTCCCAAGCATCGAAAACACTTGATGTCTTGGTTTCTGCCTTGCATATTATCTGTTTTACTCTTCTCATTGCTGCCAACTTCTTTTGACTTAGATGGTGCAGTTTTCGGCTTAAAAGCATAATTTTCTTCGTTTTTGCTCCAATTCAGTTTCCAAGATGAGGAACCTGAATTTTGTCCAGTTCTGCTGGTGGCTCCTTGCGCTTGAGTTGCCGTTCTACTTTCATCGGCATATGCACCATATCTTCTAATTCCACATAATACTGCAGCTCTACCACATTAACTATATCACGATTTAAGCCATGCAGAAACCATGCCATAGTTTCTTCTCTGTCCTCTTCCACATTCGCTCTAACCATTGCGATTTCCATCTCTTTGTGATAATCTTCAATGCTTTGGGACCCTTGAGTAAGGCCCTGCAATCATTGATAGAGATCATGGTAGTAGTGACTAGGAACAAATCGTTTTCTCATCACAGCTTTCATCTCTTCCCAAGTGTCAACAGGATGCTCTCAATTTCTACGTCGACTAAGCACAAGCTGATCCCACCACACCACAGCATAATCAGGAAATTCCACTGCTGCTAGTTTCACCTTTTTCTCAGAATAGTTATGGCAATCAAACACCAATTCCACCTTCTTTTCCCACTCCAAATACACATCTGGATCATTTTTGCCTTGAAATGGAGGAATCTTCATCTTGATGCTACCTAAGTCACAATCTTGCCGATCTCCCCACCTCATCAGATTTTGCTCTCTTTGGTTAAACCTACTTTTTTGATCCCTTCTACCTCTCATAAATCTGTCCATGTTGAAATTTGAGTTTTGGGCATCATTGTTGAATGCATCTTCATAATCGTCATTGAGATCATCATTAGCGTCATTCCTACGCAAATTCGGACTTCCATTCTGTATTTGGTATAAATTGGCTATATAGCTGCATCTTGCTTCTCCATTTGTCTCTAATCCCACCAAACATGATGTCCAGCCTCTGAAATTGTTGTTGCATTGCTTTGAGCATGAGAGGTTCATCCATATGGTGTCTTCTAGTGGTTGATTTGTCATCACCGCTTGACATGATTGAAACCTGCAACAAATGTTAGAAACAAAAGAATAAAAGGACCTCACAACACTCCCTTACGTGTTTCACTCCACTCTCTCACAGAATGGCACTCAACGCT